TAACCAACCCAAAGAACCAATGCACATGTTGCTCTTGGTCCATCTTCATTAATAAAATCCAAAACAAGGATCTATTGATACCACGCCACAAAATAATACGACATATTAATATGATACTACATATATACTTATTTTTATTGAGAAATCAGTATTATACTATAGAGAGAATCGCTGTTTGAGTTTCAAACCTTTTAAATTGTTGCAAACTATACCCAAATTTTTTATTCTTGTAGCAGGGGTTTCAAACCTTTCATCTCAAGTGCAGTTGGAGGACATGTGAACGAAATTTGTCTATTTGACCTTTATTGATCAAAAGTCAATGATCTCCCCGTATAAAATAATTAAATAAAAAATAAAATAAACGTTTGGTCAGATCGTTGACTTTAGATCAACTAATGATTAAATGAATGAATTTCGTCCACATGTCCTCTAGCTACGATAGAGAAGAAAGGTTTGAGACCTCGACAGCAAAAATAAAATATTTGAGTATAATCTACAATAATTTGAGAGGTTTGAAACCCCTATTGCAAATCTCCCTATATTTGATGGTAACAAATTTTATTATTTAAAACTTGTACAACTTCAAAACCACTATTAGTTCTCAATTATTGCAATTGTTAGTATTTCAGGCACTATGTTAACGATGACCATCGCTTGCTGGAGACGACAGTTGTGTTTGAGACTATTTTGTTTTACTTTTCAATAACAATCGTAATGGCATTTACTAGACGAACTATCAACAACAACATCATTCGAGATCATTGGAGTTCCGTAGGTATATACTCATATTTTACTCGTACATATATAATTTATATTATTATGTAAGTAACACTTTTTCAAAGGAAAATCCTCTTAATTAATCAAAAAAACATTTTTGTCAAAATGAAGTTAGTGTCCTATTAAAAAGTAATATAGGCAAAGTTGACGAGGAAGACTATAACGTCAACTTCATCTAGTTTGACGAAAATGACTAAACATTTCAAAACTCGTGGAAAAGGGGGGAAAGAAAGGGTTTAAGTTATCTAAAACTCATACCATTTTTGCTTAGCTTGACGAGAATGTTTTCATTTGACCCCCATTTTTTCAAATTTTAATGGGTGAGTAGGTTTTTTTTTTTTTTTTTTTTGGTTGAAAAAGAAGATTTTTTTTAATTTACGTGTAATATTATTTTATGAAAAATTATGTGATTGAAAATAGAAGAGAAAAAAATAAAATTTAATTTAATTGGGCCAAACAAGAGCTTAATTGTTATAAAATCATGTAAAATGAAAGGGGGAGAATATGATAATACGTTTGAAGAAAGAATGATATATATATTTGTCAAAAAAACAAAAATTAAAAATGTTACATATTTAAAAACTCAAAACTAGTGAACAAATTTGATTTTTTCACTTAGTATTGTAGGAGAAATTTCCTCATTTGAAAATAATGTTGTATGAGTCAAGCTACATGTAAAAGGAAAATTTCACAAATATTTTACAGACAACACTCAATAATGGGGTGCGTGGTTTATTTTTTAAAATAAAATATTCACATGGGACCTATCCCTTGTAAAACTTCTGTGAATTTTTTCTTATTTAGATAGGAAATAATCTATAGTGATTTTTCTTTTTCTTTTTTTAATATAAGGAATAAATTGGGAATTCTTATATATATAGGAAATAATCTATAGTGATTTTCTTTTTCTTTTTTTAAAATAAGGAATAAATTGGGAATTTAACCCCAACTGCTGTAAAAGGTTAAAACCAATAGATCACGTAAAGTTGACAACTACATGACAACAAAATAGACAGACCAAATGGTAGTTCTGTAATTTTGACGTTGACTTCATAGACATCTTCAGACACGTGTCAGGTGATGGCATGACGTGACGTGACGTAATGCTTCCTTGCAGAATCTCTGTCGTCTTCTATTGCCCGGGAATGGGAAAGGAAGTACTAAAGCTTGATGGAATTTAATTAATTTTTGTATATAATTTATGGTATTTATGTTGGATTTTTGAAAGGTTATATTGGAATATTCTGTTTACTGGAATTTATAAGTTGTGGATATTAACATATAATTAAATTTGTTAGATATTTACAAATGTTAACTAACTTATTTAAATTAAATTGATCGTGATTGTATTTGTAATTATAAATTTTTCTATGAACGATGTTCTAAAGAAATTATTGTTAAAATTTTGTTCCAACGTTCACCAAGCACTAGTCAATGTTAATGTAGAAATTTGTAAGAAAAAATTATGGTCAACATGGGATGTTATAACTTCACTAAGATCGGCATAGTTTGCATAAAATAATCTTGGTCAATATGTTCGACTGTGTGTATTGAAGAAAACAAAAAATGCTCAAATGCGTGGAGATATGTGGAGATATGAGTACATGATAATATTCAACTCAATACTGAATCCAAAGGAAACCCATCAATAGTTCAAAGCATGTAAAGTAGTGTATACGCCTTAAAAGTCATTTAGATTCCTGCTTTTTTTCCAAAAAAAAAAAAAAATGTTAATCGATGATCGACTAATCTGCTTAGGACACAAGGAATTTTGTCACATAGTCTTGTAGATTATGTTTTAAGTTGTGGCCATTCTTTATGATGCTATGGTCAATTTTGATCGTGATGACTAGTTCAGATGATTGAGTAATTGATAAAATATCATTGATATTTTGTAAATTAACACGTGTTTTGTATCATTTCACATTGTTGGTTCAACAAATAATTATGTTTTGATTGAAATTTTGATTAAATTAATTGAATCGAAGAAAATGTGTATGGTTAATTGAAATAATTCGTTACAGTCAATGAAAATTGTCATCCAATATGATATGTCAAAGAAGCAATAGTTGTTAGACAAATACATGCACATTCAACTTGCGTGGTCTGGACCCTTATTTATTGCCAATTGAATGAATTGGACATGATTTTGAATATTACAATACGGAATGACGTAATTTAATGATTTATGAACATCATGCATATGAGCGTATCAATGTTGTTTTTCACTAACATTGTTTTAATGTGAGCTATAACTTTTGGTAGGGATGGCAATGAAATGCGAATTACATTCTCCGTTCCGACCCTGATCTCGTGTATATATTGTAGAGATAAAGATAGGACATGACAAGACGAGGAACCTTCAATCCTTATTTATCGCACCATTTATTTTATATTAAATATAATATTCAATTATTTAATAATAAAATAAGAAACTAAAAATATAAAACAAGACTACATCTGCATCTTCATTCTTCAACACGAATGATATTCTTTCGATGTGGGAAAAACTCCTTTGGTTTAGTTTATAAGAAATTACGGACTTGGTTCAGTAATTAATGATATGGAACTGGAACGTACCACAACTAGCCTTACAAAGTTGATTAATTCCATAGTTACTTCCATGTATATTTTTTAATTAATGGTTTTACAATATTTTACGTTCTGTAAAATTATGATACACACATTTCACCACTACTTTTTTTCATCACCGACACTACTACCGCTACCCCCATCATCGCTTGTAACACAATGAGTTACACGTATTTTGCCATCACAACTCCAACATTCTACCAATCTATTTTCAGTGTTGCACTGCTGCCATCACCACCATTTGTGATGTTCATTGTTAAACAATCATCGCAATTATCATAATCACTGGTAACATTTCATGTTATGTTTACGTTGCGACCACCAAAATCTCCTCCGCCCTAATTTGCACCACCCACCACCATGTGCACCACTAGATCTTCATGTCATCATCATCACCGCAAAGCTAGCCACTGTATCTAAGACCACAGTAAGTTTGACACCCATTATTATGTAAATTAAAGAGTTTCGAATAATATTTGTTGTAGAATGCGTAATTAAAAAGTAAAAAAACTCCATTGGTTTGTGTATAGAATATTTTATTGTATGAATATGTGGTTAAGAATCATACTGTAGCACAAACATCGTAAAATCTTTAAGGTTGTCAAACACAGCCTAAACACCATTCCTAGTAGGGATAAAAATTAATATTCCCTATTCAATATTTTCTAAATAAAATTGAGTTCTATCGTTTGAAAGGTGAGAAGATAATGGTAACTTTTACTGGATGATTTTACATTAGTCAGACTTAAAATTATTAGATGTGTTGTCCAAGAAAGTCAGCGGTTGATGAACTTATATTGCAACGATATTATTCGAAACATAAATGCGATGAAAAATGTTGTTAACCTTCAAACTCAGTAGTTGCGACATTTTTTAAATTTTAATTGACAATTTGTTACTTCAATATTTAGAAATAATAGTAGTTTCGTTTATTAACTATTGAGAAATAATCTAGTACTCATGTTACCAAGCATGCCTAATGCATTACAAACATTTTTAGTACGTAATGCTGGATATTTTCCACTATAATAATATACATGACTCACAATCTACTATATGAAAAGTGACATAATTTTTTCCTTTTTTGTTTCATTTGAGAGTAACAATTTTATCATGTGAAAGAAACTATCATTTTCCAGATTTCACCTATCAAAGTTGTTTGCACGATTTAGATTGTGAGGTGTTTAAGATAGAACCTCAAGCCTCAACATGGTATCATAATTCATTGAACTCAAACGAATAATTAAATCTGATTAAGACTCTAAAGCAAACAAATTTCAAGATTGATTGACTCAAGGAGTCACCATCTTCCAGAATTGTGTTCAGAGATATATTCCAAATCAATTAAATAGTGAAATAGAAACCAACATATAAGAATGTGTTGTACTCTCTTAACAAGATTGACCTTTCAAAATAAATATTCAAGTCTTAATATGAACAAGCATGGTAGAACCAACTGAGCTAAGGCCTGGTACGGCCTGCATTCTTCGACAGGCCAGACCAGACCAGGCTTGCCCATCTATAGAAAGACGAAGGCCTGGTCTTTACTACACTTCTCCACAAGAAGCACAACAATGCAAAATGCAGTGAAGAGAGCCATTTACCAAGGAGTATATATAAATTGGAGCCATAAGAACTTTATATTATAGTTTACAAAGAAATACAAGTCAAAATCTTTAATAGTAATACATTTTTATTATTTTTTCTTCATGTACATATTTTCTTGTGTATGATTTTGTGTGGGTATGATGATGCATTTTTTGAGACCAAATATTACAAAATTCTTTGTATGGAAGCTAAGCTCAAACAAGTAATTTACAATGCAACAGTATCAGATTACCTTCCATCCTATGTCTACATGTATTACCCCATCTCTAGAATTGATAAGATAGCACCTCTCGTTGATATGTCCGTTGTAAACTACATCAGAGAGATTTATATCCACGTGCCCCAGTGGTTCCTACACCATACACACACATTAATCAATTTGCTTTCAAAAAAGATGTGAAAGTGAAGCTGAAGAATAAAGGATGACGATACAACCTTTGACATAAAGCCAAGGCGGCTTCTTCTCTTGCTAATGACTTCAATGTGAATTTGGTCCTTTACCGGAGCCTCTTCTAACACAAACTGAAATTCCTCATTCCAAATTGGGTTTCTAGTTTTCTTGATTGACTAGACAAATTACATATTAACAATGAGGTTTAGCAGTTTAAATATACAACCATGATATACTTGATTGATGCAGGATTTGTGAAAGTCACCTTGGTTTTTCTCTTATCTCCTCTAAAAAGGATCACGGCATGAGGGTTGTTGTGGTTCTTGCCTTCGACATCCTCGGCGCCTATGATTGTAACTATAAGTAAACCTGTTCCCGTCAAAGAAATCTTCTCCGAAGCATCATGAGAACTTCCATTCTGCTCATAATCCATAATTCCACTAAATTTTTTACTATCTTCCAAGAAAGGAATGAACGCCGTCGCCACTGTAATTTGACCTCGAGGCTTCTTGTTATGAGGATCATCAGGATCCATACTATTTAGCAAACTGAGTGTGAAGTCTTTCTTCTCGTATGGAATGAGTACATTCAGCGGAATAACTTGCATCCCTAAATAATCATGTGCTCCAAACTGCAAATCAGAGAAGAAAAACAAGTTGTAAGAAGGGATCTTCTAATCACTAAGAAATTTTAAGTGAAGTACTATTGTATTATTTCAATGAGAAATTGATTTAAATAAAAAAGAAATAAAAGAAAGAAAGAGCATCTGAAGCACATCTGGAAACGATGATATTATGAAGTTATGAGTAACGAACCTTTTCCCAGTCATAAAGGTGCATTTGGAGGACTTGAGACTGGGGGTCCTTCACAATCATCTTGAAGTCTTCTAACCACTCGGGATTCAAATTATTCATCTTGACGGAAGTCTTCTTTGCCGGAAGCCTTTCCCCACTAAGGCTGAGTTTGACGTAGGGATCAGACATTGAGAGAAAATCTGTGTTTAGAAGATTTTGTGCTCTCACAACCTTCACGTGCAGAATTCCCACGGGCTTCTTGTCGGCTCCTCTGTGAAATAATGGAAGGATGGAATTTAGGTCTTTTCTTCTTTAGAAATACATTAAATTACTGTGACAGAAGAAATAAACAGAAGGATTGTAAAGGCTAATTCATAACATAAATAAATTTCTCCAATCCTAAACATCAATGAACTAAAGCCTGGTTACAATAAATTTGAGGTTGGACACATTAATCTTTAATCCAATGTGTTCTGTTCAATGCTAGCAAATGGGAGAATCTTTTAGATCCTTAACAACTACAATAGTCCAGGTTAGATTTGATTTGCCCCTCCCTCTTCTGGCCTTTTCAGCCAAGATCATGCCACTCATAAGAAGACACGTCAGGTCTACACAAAACATGTTTCAATCAAAGAGTTTGGAAACGGAGGCATGAGGCACTACACTCTATCAGCTTCAACTTCAACAGGAATTGTTGGTTAAAGAGGATTTCGTTCATATAGTTTGAAGGTAGGGTGAAAATGGAAATCCCAGAACGGATCATAAATTGTCCAACAATATGATCACTTTCAATAACTTCTATTGAATTTGGAACTTACATTGAACTGTCAAGAATGGGTATTTCGTATGTGTGGGGCCAGAGATAAAGCCCTGCAACTTGCTTGCTTATAACTTCCTGTCACCAATCAAACATCCAATGTTATGTTAAATTCACAAAATCTGTTGTTTGTCAGTAATTAATATCTTTACATCATCAAATCTATCTTTCATAAACTTGGGACACACATTTCTAATCTCTGGTTACTTAAGATCATATACATTAGTCCGTGTCTAAATTCATACATATGTTTTTAAAGAAGTTAAGAACGCACATAGACGAACCTAAATTTAAATTAAAAGTTCATGACTACATATTTTGTCCTATCTCATTCAAATATGTTTTCAGTATAGTGAAAGAGAGCTGCACCTGAACACATTGGTATAGCCCTGGGATTGCCATAATATCCCCTCGCATTACTTTCAGCCCAAAGTCTATCTGTGGCTGCAATCATGCCAATAATATTTCTAATGTGTATATAATTTTGTGGCAGTTGAACAAAAACTAGAAACTTTCCTTCTACTTAGACAGAAAATAAAAAGACTACATATGACTAAAGTATTCATCGACTTACCTTCTCCATCAAAGATACTGCAATGTTTGCAAAACATGGGAATGTTGGCACAAAAGGTCTCAATATTACCCGAGTAGCAGCAGATATTTGTATATCTATTAACTGACATCCAAAGAAAATTTGTTGATCTCAAAAATAATTTACAACAATTACCATGCATTATCTACATTAAGGAAAATATTCACGTTCTCAAGGACAAAGGATTACGATGCAGTTCCATTTCTGTTACATTTAATTTAAATGCATAAAATATGATTTTATATTTAATAGATGAATTGCCAATATACAAATATTATCCATTGAGAAATACATGATTTCATATGTCCTTGAGGCCTGTAGAAATTATGTCCATTTTTCTACATCGATGTATGTGTCCAAATATACGAGAAAAGTGAAATAAATATGAATGTGAAGCAATTCTAACTTATTCTAGTGTTATACATTAGTATGACTTATAACAATTCACATATTTTAATAAGATATACAACTCTTAATCTAGTAAAACAATGTATTGAAAAAATTCTTCTAACCTGAACATTGATTTCTAGAGAAAATAGTTTTATCGCCAGAACAATGACAGCATTTCCAGCCCATCTTAGTGCAAGATCAAAAACCAGTTGATTCTCATTAGACTCTTGAACCTTAAGACCTGGAAAATTAAAGATTACATTGCGAAGTCTATTAATTGAACAGTGCAGTATTTGGTTTGTACACAATTTTTCTCTTCTGTGTGTGTGATGAAATTCCGTCCCCTTTCCCATTCTTCTTTTAATTTTCTTCTCAACCCACATTCTATTATCAATAATGTTATATATATATAAAAGCTAAAGACTGGTAAAAATGATCTCATATCAATTTAATTTTCTTACGCTACAAAATTTGGCCTCTCTGATCACAAAATTCTGGTTCCGTCACCAGTGTCTGATGGTTATATAGAAGAGTGAAGACTTCAAATGAGTGCAATATCATTTATTTAACTTTCACTTACCATGAATTTTGGGAGGAAGATTTCCAAGAGTAAGATGCTCGAAATTTATGGATTTTATCTGAAACTTGTCTATGTACTCAGAAAAAATAGGTTCTGCGGTGCTTATGATAATTCCACATGCTACCTATTAAAAAAGTCGAGAATTTGAGAGAAAATTAACAGAGCTTACGTTTACAGCTTAAACTAACAATGGACACTCAATATATATGTTGTCTCACCTTATCAAAGTATGGCCACATGTCATTGATAAACTTGTTTAACCAATCGACCTTCAAAACAAATAAAATTACCTCATTGCATGATTAGAAAACTTGAATTGAATGAAGATTAAAAGAATAAACAGTGAATTTAATGTTTACTCGCTCATAATCTGGATTCATCACCCATAGTGGAAGTTTTGGGAGAAGATCAATCAAGGTGCTAGAATCATAATCTTCAAGTGACTTATTGGGGCCAAAGTCCTGCGAGTTCAGGTAAGATAAGCTCATCACTCTACTTAATGACAGGTTTTTACCAATTTAAACTATAATATCAGCAATTCTGCCCTGAAGGGATATGTAAGCAAATGCTTTATGTAGAATACGTAGCGTAAAACTCATAGACGTGTGATTTAAGAATCAAACACTGATCTGAGATTATAAGAGAAGCTAAAATAATCATGTAGGGATATGCAATAGCCGAGTAAAAATCAAACCAAATATCTTCGAATGGCATAATGAAGTACAAAGGTCCCCAAAATTTGAAGAGAAATTAAGCACTGGATACTGATACACTTGCCAAACATTATTACATCAACTGAACGAATGGTGTTTCTCGACACATGAATGTCCTGATATAGTCGTAAAACTTAGGAAATCTTATTTAACCTTTTGAGTCCTCACTAGATTGATCAAGATTTCTTATAACAATGTTACCAAAAATCTAAGAATAATTCTGCCATGTGACAATACAACAAACAGATTTTGCAGCTCCTCAACCTTAATCAGTTAATGCAAAGTAACTATCAGGGATTATGCCATAATCCCAACTAATAAGTGCAATAATAATGAAAATAAATCAAACAAGTAAAGCAAGCACAGAGATTTATAGTGGGTGTGGTCAACATTGCGCCAAAAGTTTTCACTATAAAGAAAAAGAATGGTAGTAATTCACACCTCTCATACTAAAAAATCCTGCCTCCCAAAATCCTTTTTAGTATTTAAGGAAATTAGAGCGACCTAATCTTGTAGGGAATACCCTTTATGTAAAGGGGATAATTGTACATTCTAAGACTGATAATAACATAAATTATAACTCAGTTGGGTAACTTGCTGTTAAGCAAGAAAGCTGTTGGGTGAACCATCTTCAACTGAAATTTATTCCAGGCGATATATAAAAAACCAAATTGACTTTTATATGAAACTGTATCAGATTGAAACCTCTGCAAAACTTTTCATAGATTGGTGACTGGATTAGTTTATAGTGTGCGTTGGACGGCATATTAGATGATATCCAGATAAATTTGTGTTACTTGAACTTTGGGTAGAACTCCCCCTAAAATCGGCTTGTAAGGACAAACTGTACAGTATGCTTGAAAACCCACAGATAGCTTCATTGTTCATCATCCCCTCGCTACCGGATGAGTGAACTCTACCCACCTATGCTTGATGGGATTGGATTCAATCCACCCTCATGCCTTGGACGTAAAGGAGCATATATTGAAGGTAGGATTGAATGCCATGCCCATAGAAAGACGAAATGCATTGGAAGAATAGGTAGGCCTTGTTAGATACAACACAACATCAGGAATTGGTTCAATCAACCCCATAATCCCAAACCAACGCCTTAAATGAATGCCATGAGATCCAGAAACAATGTTACAGTTATAAATTTTTGCCTTACCTTAACATCTCTTGGTTCATAGTATATGAATATGAAGAATCCCAGAAGAATACCTATCGGAATTCCGATCCAAAAACCTATGGTTTCCGATAAACTTACGAGAAATCCCATTATCGGTGGTTATCGATCATTGAGCTCTTGTGTCATGGGTTATCAATAATTGTTAAAATCAAAGCAATCTGCAATTGAAAGTTCGTGAGAAACCAAGAAGTGGAGAACAAGAAATCACTTATGGACTGTACCCATAAACAAACAAGAGATTTATCCCAGCTGTGAATTGATTAAAAATTCAAGTTAACGGATGAAGCATTGAAAGTTTGAAACTGACAAAATAGAGTTTAGTTTGCGTGGCATTCATAAACGTAGCTCGGAAAAAAAGAAAAAAGTATTCACATATTTTTCTAAATTGGCGAAGTTTGATTTTGTATCTTGCGTCAGTTAGAAAAGGAAAATTTGTATTTTTCGTCCCAAACTTTTGTAAAGTGTAATAAATTTATATTCACCAAATAATACATCGCAATCTTTTAATTATGTTGCAAAACACATCGTTCCCTCGATTTTGATCATTAAATGACATATTTACCCTCTCTTTAAGCTCCCATTTGGTTTAAATAAAAATAAAAATTTTATTAAATTTTAATAAAAATCGAAGAAATATATGGATGAAAAGTTCTAAGTTACATAAAATGAGTGATTTAAATTAAGTGTTGACTTTGAATTTGATTTTAATAGACATTTTTAGTGGAACCAAACCAGGGCTAAACAAATAATAAAATGAATAATTTACAAAGGAAGTCCCATAACTTTTGAAAACAATTAAACATATAACATAACAAATTTGTTTAAAAGTAAATATTCATCTTTCTAAGCTATGCGTTTCAGTCTCCTCCAACCATGGAAAATATCACCTCCACAAATACAATTATGTCCACGACAGTACCACCACCACCTTAGAAAAATTAATTTAATAAAAACAAAACAATAAAAATATATTTTTCCCAAACCCACCATAGTAATAGCAGAACCACCACCCATCGTCTCGTCGCGGATGAGAGAGGATTGGGCTGGTTGAGTGAGTATAGACGGGAAAGATGAAATATTTAGTTTTCGATTTTTTTTTGTATTAATATATATTTAATTATGTTAAGTGAAAATTATTTGTATTTTTTGAAAAATTATGAACTTTAATTGCAATTTTTTTTAATGCTTTCTTTTATTTTTATTTATTTACGAGGAGGGCAAATGAGTTGTTTAATGGTCAAAATGGAGAAAATGACAAGTTTTATTCCGTAAAATAAAAAGTTGAAAACATATTAAAAAAAAAAAAAAAAAGTTGAGGATACATTTATTATATTTATCATTAGTAGGGGTCCAATTTGGGACGAAAAAGACTGCAAATTAAAAAATCTAATCTATTGACCTAGTTCTGTGTTGATCCGGCATTTTATACCTTTTTCTGGCTTGATTCTCTCTTACCTCAAGAGTTAAGAATAAGAATTTGCTCTAATTTGATGGAATCCGTTGACATTTTTTTTTTATAATTTATATGTATCGAGTACTTTTTATGTTCCCATTAGTTTAGATAATACCCTATAATAGAATTCTTAATAAAGTTGAACGCAGAAAAAATTAGGCCGTGGTTGGTTTGCCATTTTCGGCCCATTTTTCGTTTTCCGTTTTCGAAAATGCGGAAAACGCGTTTGGTCTATCGTTTTCGAAAACGAGTTTAAATTTATAACCGAAAACGCAAAACGACTTTTTATCGTTTTCAGCTATAAATGTCGAAAATGCTCAAAACGTAGAAAACATACCGTTTTCGGGGAAAACTAAAAATCGTTTTGAAAATGAAAACGAAAAATGAAAATGCAAACCAACCACTACCTTAATAATTTACATCTGCATGTAAATTGATAGAATCCGGTTTGAATTCAACTGAAAGCCTATTTGAATTGTAGTATTGAAATAAAGTTTATCTTGTTAATATAATTTATCCACTATGTTGGAGTTATTCTATTACAAAAATTTTAAAACTTCAAGGTTAACTCCAAGAAAATATTATGTCGATCAAATGTCTTGTTCGTGTCAATTATTTATTTGAGGTCTAACATCTACTTAATTTTTCTTGCACGGTATTCCTTTTGTTAATTTTCTTGGCATGTTTTGAAAGAGCGTAGCATATTCTTATAAGGTGGGTGATACATTAGTTGTAGACTAATTATGAAAATGACATCCATGAAGATTATTTATTAATAGGTGAACAACTTATATCATCTAGAATTGTGGAAAATCAGCTCAAAATATAGTGGCAAATTGATCAAATTATTTATATATAGGGCAAATCACCTGCTCATGAAAACTTGTACATTGAATAACTCTGAAAAAAAATAAAAACTGTCTTATCTTGAATAGGATGAAATAAAAATTAGGGAAAATTGCAGTCGAGGTACCAAACCTTTCGTTTATTAGCAAACTTTGCCCAAACATTTAGTTTGTGTCATCGGAGATACCAAACCTTTAAAAAATGAGCAGGGCCAATCCAAAATGATGGTTTCCGTCTGTTTGACCCCCAAATCCGTCAGTTGACCCTCTAATGATATTTTCAAGATTTTTTCCCAAATAAGTGAAGGGCAATCTGGGCATTACACACATTTCCCTCCTCAACATCAAACACGTAAGTTGCAATTTCATTCCACTCACCATCCATTATGGACCCTACGAAAATCCACGAAGAAGACGAAACGTACGTGAAAGAAGACGAACATCCAGTGGACATTGCAGCCCACATTCGAGGCTCTCTTCCCCAACCCATGTATGGTAAGTGTGTTCCCCTTTTTTCGATTTACGGTGTGAAGTTCTGTGATTATAAAGTTCCCCTGTTCGATTATCTTCACGTATTGGGAAATTCAAAAAAATTAAGTGACTTGGTGTCTTAGAGCGTAATGCTTGTGTACTATCTTTTCTGCACATGTTCGTTGCTCGAACTGAAAAGGGCTAGGGATTAACTTTACTTTTTTCATTGTTTTTTCAAGGGAAAATTCAAAGTACTTCAGCATATGGCTTTATCATGGTGGAATTTTATTTCAGAAGATGAGAAATTTTGTGTATGAGCATGGAAAAGTAAGTTATATAGACTATATCGACCCTGATTTTTTTAATAGATTTCTTTGGGATAATGCCGTGAAAATGTTAGGATATTCTGATAGAATTAGATATCTGTACAAGATGGAGAAGAAAAGAGTGAGTGAAGCTTCATTTTGGTTGGTTAAAGACTCAGATTTCATGAACTTAGTGAAGTGGCTTGGTGATAATAGGACAGTTGAACTGTATTGCTTGCCTGTAGTTGAGGATTTGAGTTGCCTTAGGATGAAACAGTACAAAAGGATGTTCAAGTGTTTGATTGTGAGACTGGTGACGAGTTGGTGAAAGTTCAAAAATCTAGAGAACATGATGAAGCATTGAATGAGCAGCAACCATGCTATGCTGTTGAGACTTTTGACGAATCAGTAGAAGGTGATGACTTGTACGTAGTTGATGAAGTGGATGACATGGAAGCAGATGAAGAGGAAGTTATCCTTACAGGAGATGACGTCGAAGAGGTTACAGTGCATGGAATAGAGCATGAGTATACAAAGGTTGATTTTATAGGGGCCGAAGTATACTCACATGAACCAGAAGTGCATGCTGCTGAACCAGAGAAACCATTTGATGTTGAACCACGGTAGAGGTCTGAACATGAGTTGCATGACGTCGAAGCAGAGCTGCAGGCTGTTGAAACTGATGTGCATGCTTCTGAACCACAGCAGCAGGCTCGGCATGAGGTGCAAGACGCTAAGCATAAGTTGCATGATGCCGAACTAGAGCTGCAGGCTACTGAAACTGATGTGCATGCTTCTGAACCAGAGCAGCAGGCTTAGCATGAGGTGTAGGCTGCTGAGCATGAGTTGCATGATGCCGAACCAGAGGTGCAGGCTGCTGACACTGATGTGAAGCTTGATGAACCACATGTTAACGTACAGGCTGCTGAAACTGGTGTGGAGCATGATGATCCTGACCAGGATAATGAATATAAGGAGGGTATTTTGGAAGAGGAATTCAATAGCTTGGAGTACGAGCAGTAAGAAAATATTGCTGTCGATAATAATGATGAACACATATTTCAGGTTGAGTGAAGGTTTTGACATTGGTGCAAGGGGTGAGCAGGAAGGTGTAAGGGATGAGCAGGAAGGTGAGGCAACTGCTGGGGAAGAAGTTGGAACAGACTACGAAGACTCCAATGAACTTAGAAGCTTACCCAGTGATACGGAGGCTGAGAGGTCATCTGCCAGAAATAAGAAGGTGTGCTAGTTTAACCCTGCAACTGATATGGATGATCTACAGTTCAAACTAGGTAATGCATTTGTTTTGTTTAACACGTACATTGTTCTCTTAACTGAAAAAATTTATGATAGAATGCTATGTTCATTTCTACCAGGGATGAAATTCGACAACGTCAAGATTCTAGGGAATGCAGTAGTTCAATACTCAGTCAAAAATTCCAGGCAACTGAGATACTTAAAAGTATGAGGACACAGTTGAGAGTTCGATGTCAAGATAATTACCCTTGGCTTCTGTATGCATACCAACAACCCGACAAGAGCCTTAGAATTAACACATTGGTAGATGAGCATACCATGGTGTGGCAAAATAAAAGGGTTAATTTAGGTTTTCTGGCTAAGAAATACGTAAGAAAATTTAGGTCTGATCCCAACGTTCCAATGAGTAGTTTTATGGAGACTGTGAAAGAGGACTGCATGTATGAGATTTCAAAACATCAGTTCTACACGATAAGATCGAAATGTACAGAAGATATTAATGGGATTGTAGCTGAGCAGTACAAAATTTTATGGGATTAGGGTAAGGAATTGAAGAGAACAAATCCAGGCTACAATGCAGATCAAAGGTTCGGGTCAAACTTTTAAGAGATTGTACATCTATATAGGGGGCGTGTAAGGAAGGGTTTAGGGCTGGGTGCAGGCCAGTGGTTGGGTTGGATGGATGCTTCGTAAAATCTGCAAAAGGTGAGCAGTTGCTGGCATCGACGGTGAGAACTGTATGTTCCCGTTAGCATGGGCAGTTGTGGATGCGGAGAACAAAACAAACTGGCAATGGTTCATAGAATTGTTGGTTCATGACATAGGGATGTACAACCCTCGAGCTTGGACATTCATTTCCGACAAACAAAAGGGTTTGGTGGATTCCATAAGTCAATATTGTGAAGGAGCGGAGCATAGGTGTTGTGCTAGACATCTTTATAGCAATTTCACCTTGGCACACAAAGGTCTGGCCCTTAAGAACCTATTTTGGATTGCAGCAAGGGCAACAA